GGGAACTGTGAGGTCTTGAGAGAAACCTGGCTCCCATCAGGTTTGGATGTGTCCTGGCTCGGGGGGAGTTTCCCAGCTCCGGCACGGACAGCCTGGCCAGGGCTGAGGGCAGGAGAGAGGCTGGGTGCCGGTCGTCCGCACAGGGCTGGGCAAGTGAGACTGGACACCAGCTTTACAGCTCCTGTGCCCACCGGTCAGGCTGCCACATCATCCATGTAGACAAGTTTCTTCAGCCTCTGCCTTCCTTTTATCCCCTTTATTGATCCCAGACCAGGTTGTGTCTGAGCTCTCTCCCAACAGCAGCATCCTCCGGCTTAGCAGATCTGCTGAAATTTAAGCTTGAGTCTCTTGCAAGTGCAGGCTGATCTCCTGCTGTCCAGGGGGTGATCCCTGCAACCGCCGCAAAGCACTTCCCAATCAGTGAGGTCTCTTCTGGCTCATATTTATTGTAGTGCAGTTTAAGGACCAGTTCAAGGCAGTATCTCACTGATGGACCCTCCTAATTAACGGTGTAAAGCGAGGAGGTGGAGATGAGGTGGGGAAAGGAGAAAAACATCTTCAAGTGGTCAGCAAGGAGAGGGCAGACTCCAGAAAAGAGGGGAAGAGATCTCCCTGGGTCTGAGGGTTGGGGTCTTCCCTGGGCTCGATGTGTGCGTGGGATGACCCCGTGGGGCTGGCAGCGGGGTCTGTCCCCAGTACAGGTGGGAGAACTGGAAGCCTTGTTAGCACAGGGGCGATGGAGGCAGCGCCCACCTGACGGGCGTAATTCCTGCAAAGAAATGAGCCATGGAAACCCTGCTTCCAGCTCCCTAGTAAAAAGCAATGATTAAAATGTCCTTTTTAGCCATGAATAATTAAGCAGTAACCTGCAACCGTATCTTTAACAAGAAGCTGGCCAGGAGAGAGACTGCTTCCACCTCCCTGCCCGTGTCTCAAAATCTGTCTGTCCCTTCGTGCTCCCCTCCGGGAGAGCCACACGGATGAATCCCTAAAGGACAAAGCCAAGTGCTTCTGGGAACAGCAAACCAAGGGGAGGATGTGTGCTTCGCCATCAACTGAAGATAATTCATCTGCTCGATGCCATATTAGACCCCAGGAAATCCAAGGGGAGGGTGCTGTGGGAGGCTGGGCGGAGGCTCCAGACTCTAATACAGGTTTAAGCTTGCTCGGAGGCTTGTCCCTGCTTGGGAACGGAGTCAAGGTGTTCGGTCCTCCACCCCCAAACTTGCAGGAACCCAGTCTTGACCCTGTTGCCAGACTGGGTTGCCCCAGGCCAGCAGCGTGCATTGTTTTGGAGGGGAGCAGCATCCTGTCCGGCATCTCGGTTCTTTAGGAAACCAGGCTAAACCCCAGCTTTGGCAAAGGGGGGGCTCTTGGTGCTGCCGCACAGCCTGTGTTGGCATCTCAGGTTCGCGGGCCCTCATGTAATATTCATATGGGGATGGTGTCAGCTCTCCACCAGCGCCGGCTTCCCATCCGTGCCGTCGGATGCCTGGCAGGAGCAGTGGAGGGGTTGGCACGACCTTTGTTTAACACTGCAAAGACCCTGCTGTGCCTGGAGAGGAGGCTTTGGCCAGGGTCCCCATCCCTGCTCGGTCCCAACCTGCCCGTGGGGCAGGGCTCTGCCCTTGGCACCGGGATGGCCGCTCCACCCTAGACGTGCCGCTGGCCGCTCACCTGTCTCTTCCAGCATCTCCTCCTGGGGGAAACCAAGTCCTGGACGGCTGGCGGGTGAAGGTAGTACCCCCAAGGGAGGGGAAAGGGGAGGTGTGTGGGATGTGACAGTGCTCACCTGGCTTGGAAAGGTGACGGATGGGGCTTGGGGAGGGGCTGGGAGGCAAGGGTGAGCCACTGGGCATCTGCCGCCAAAGCAGCTGGGACGGCTCCTTCCTCATCCTTCACTTGCTTCTTCCCTTCTCCTCAGTATGTACCAAGTATGCTGCCAAAATTCACTTTTTTTTTTTCTTCTTTTCTTTTCTCGGTGACTTCCAAACTGCATTGTTTCCTAGGTATTTCCCTCCCTGGGGCTCCAGTCCGCTGTGATAACACCAGTAAGGGCAGTGGAGAAGGAAGGAGGCAGTGCCAGATGTAACTGGGGCTGAGACGAGCAGCAGGGAGACGTGGCCGGGGTGCGGGCACAGGGACGGCACCTGCGGTTTTATGGCACCGAGGGACCTTGTGCCCTCTGGACTCCGCTCTCTGAACCAGCCAGAGCTGAGGTTCATCTCGTGGATGTGCTCGAGGCGATTTCCCATTTCTGGGGCCTCTCCTGCAGTAAAAGTGCCTTTAGGGACGCAGGAGAGGCTCCTGCAGGCGATGTCCCAGCACTTTTACTGAGGCTCAGCTGGCAGCGAGGGGTCCTTGCCCCAGGAGGGGAGGGGGGGGTGGCACCGGTTCCCACATGTGTCCCTCTGGAAGGAGCTGGGTTGGACTGGTGCTGCTGGGACGGGTCTCAGTGCACGCTCCTTGGAGTGGGTGCTTAATCCCAGTCTTGTTCCACATGGCCCAAAACCAGCTTCAGCGTTTTACTGGTAGGGGCATTGGATGCGGTGCTAACCAGGACCCAATGCCTCCTCGGTGCCCATGCGAGGACCTTGTTATTTTGGGTCCTGGTAGAGGACCAGCACTGCCAGTGTCCTCCCTGCAGGGTCCTACTGGCTCCATCACCAGTTGCTCTTCTGCTTTGTTTTACTTCCCAACGAACCTCAGAAATTCCCAGGACAGACACAGTGATTCCATCACTAACAGCCTGCAAGCCAATTGCCTGCATGCCAGCTCTGGGGCTGGTGGGATTTCTTTTTTCTCCATTTTTAAGCAATGAATGGGAAAGGAGGGAGTGTAATGTCGCTGACCCGGGAGGTGTTGCCTTACGGGGGGCTGTGTCCCTGCTGGATTTCTCGCAGCTGCTGGAAGGAAACTCGGTGGTGGAGAGTGGTCCCGGAGCAGAGTTTCACAGCCGGAGCTGTCATTACAACATTTGCTCATTAGAATTTGCAAATAGCTTAAAAGTGTTAACGTCCCCCGTAGCACCTCGAGGCAGATGTTCCCTGGCAGGATTACAGATATGGAAACCTGGCCCTCATCTTCCCTCCTTCTGCCCATTGAGAAACTCCTCTTTCACTGCAGATCCCGTGAATTAATCACAGCTACCGGACTGCCTCCAGGCCTGAGCGTAGCTTTAGTCCCAATTAAACCTCAGCTATAAATAGTTCCTCTATCTTACGCTGGCCTTCTGCCCCGATTGAATTCCCACTCCCTTGGTGAATACATTATCCTCCTATTCTCCTTAATTTTCTTCTCCTTTCCTCTGGCTTTATCAGCAGCCTGCCAACTTCCAGTTGTTATTTAAGACAACAAATGCATCAGGCTGGCTGCGATGCCAGGGCTTTTTTGGCTTGCAAAAAAATAAAAAGGGTGTGACTTCATCCTTTGGCCCCAGCCAGATGTGATCAAAGCTGAGGGGGGGATCCTGCGGTTTCGATGCTGTCGCCTGGCTCATGGGCAGCGCATCCCAATCCTGCTGCATCCAGGGCCGGTGCTGAGCCCTGGCTCCCCCGCCCTGGCAGCCAGCTTGGAGGTGAGGTTCCCCCTTGCTTCCAAGCTGGCCCAAGAACACGTCCATCAAACCTGCAAGGTTTCTGCAAAGAGCAACACTTTCAGGTCATGGGAATTTTCCAATTAAAAAAAAAAAAAATTGCCCTTCGGCTTTGCCATCTTCTGCCTTTGGGACAGCCACAGGCCGTTGCCGTCAAGTCTCTCTCCAGATGTTTGCCCTTTGATAGGAGAACAGGGTTATCGCCCGGTCTGACTTGTGCTTCTTGCTGGTTTCAGTTTTACGGATACTGTGGAGGTTTTCTCCTACTGAGGTTTTCACCTGAATCTTGAGGCTAAAAATCCACATTACATCCAGACTCCGTAACTTTCACCGGGGTAACTCCGAACCTCCCACCTCTTTGCAACAGCAGCATGGACCGACCTCCAAATAACAGGGAACACGCTCCTGAAAATGTCTGCAAGGCTCTTGTTGTCTTTAACAACCTCTGCCCGTTTGCTAGATCTGGGTTTGCCATTGCAGCACAGAGATGCTGTCGTTTGCCGAGTGCTGTATTTGGGGGTGTTTGCTGCAGACGGCTGTAACAAATGCCAAGGAAGGCAGGAGCCCCGACCGTCGTGGTCGCGTGGGCTGTTTTCTGGGCTGGAGGAACGGTCCTAGCCCCACCGAAGCATTTGGAGCTAGAAGTTATACTTCTTAAACTTGCCTTGAAATGATGGATCTTTTTAGAAAGCAACTGGCAAGCAACCCGAAAACCATTATTTTATCAACCAAACCAGCCCAAACTGCCCTGAGTGAATTTACCCCCAGCCTAGACTCTGACGGGAGCCAAGCCTGAGCTGGTCCTGGTGTTTGCCGCGCTGGAAGGGGAAAAAATCATGTTGCTGCAATGGGCTGCTGGAAAACCTTGGGATCTGTGCAGGCTTGCTGCTGATCTAGCCAAAAAGTTTATTGGTTTTTCATGGCAAGGTGGTGCGGGAAGTGGTTTTAATTTTTAATTTTTAGCAAAGAATTTTAGGTAACTGCCCTGGGGAGCAATTGCCCAGATGGGTGAGGAGAGATGGGAAGTCTGGGCACGGCGGGGGCCAGCAGCGGAGGTGGGGGTCGTGGGGAAGGGTCCGTTGGCTGCTCACGCTGTGCTCCAGCCTCGTGTTTTATCCCAAGTTGAGGCATTCCCTGCGGGAAAAAAACAAAACAAAACAAAAAAAAACCAAACAAACAAAAAACACGAGACCCAAGACTCAAAGGCAGTGCTTTCAACTGCGGTCTTGACTCTGCCCTGTGGCGTGTTTGCAGCAGCCCCTGATGAGTCTTTCAGCTGATATTTCCTCTCTTGCTTTTGAGCTGTGAAAGGTTCCTCCTGTTCCCACCCCCAAGCCCTAGAGAACAGTGCTACAAATCAGTAATTGATTTTTCCCCCCATGCTCCCCTTCCTCTCTTCTTCCAGAGCTGGGAAAGGAGTTTTTTCAGCCATGAAGCTTGGCAAGACGCGCCCGACAAAGGATGACCATCGGAAACAAGGTATGCTGTTCCAGGGAGGAGGTTTTTCCCTGTTCCAATGCTGCTTTTTGGCTATCCTCCACATCCCAGGAAAGCACCTGAGAGATGCCATCGAATCGCGGAATGGTTTGGGTGGGAAGGGACCTTTAAAGCCCACCCAGTTCCAACCCCCTGCCATGGGCAGGGACCCCTCCCACCAGACCAGGTTGCTCACAGCCCCATCCAACCTGGCCTTCAACACTTCCAGGGATGGGGCATCGACCACCTCTCTGGGCAACCTCTGCCACTGCCTCACCACCCTCAGCGTAAACAATTCCTTCCACATCTCTAGTCTGTGTATCTCCTCTTTTGGTTTAAAGCCATCACCCCTTGTCCTATTGCCACAGGCCTGCTAAAAAGTCTGTCCCCACAGTTTCCCACATCGGGCACAGCCAGTTGGTACCTCGGGGTACGTTGGGTCCTCGGGAGGAGAGCTGGAGAGAGGGTCTCCG